ACGAGCAGCGTGTCTACGATATCACTACATTATAGCACGCGGAAACACATTGCACACACACAACACACAATCAGTCACTTTGAAATGATATTTAAATATCAAACAAAAAAGGGGCTAATGGTGTAAAAATGTATGTTCAATGAGAGTGAGATATAAGAGGAGAGAGAGACAGGTAGACAGAGAGCGAAAGAGAAGGGAGATAGAGAGATAGATAGATAGAGATAGAGATAGAGATAGAGATAGAGAGAGAGAGAGAGAGAGAGATAACGAGAGAGAGGAGAGAGAGAGAGAGAGAGAGAGAGAAGAGAGGGAGGAGGGAGGGAGGGAGAAGAGAGGAGAGAGACAATAGAGAGAGACTTACAGACGTCTACCTGCGCCGTAGGAAGCCCATTAATTATATAATTTCAGCGAGCATAGGTAGAGGCAAAATGTATAAAACAATATCCAGTAAACTTTGTTTAGTGGTTGAGAGAGAGAGAGAGAGAGAGAGAGAGAGAGAGAGAGAGAAAGAAAACGAGAGAGGGAGAGAGAGGGGGGAGATCATAAGTTCCGACTCACGACAAAGTACTTACGGCAAAGTTCCTGTGTTCGCCACTTTATGGGAAGTCCAGCAACGCTGCAGGCGCGTGCGTAAGCCGCTATCGCCGTACAAAGGCACTCGCAATCGCCACCCGTGTCACATGCGCAGGAGTCAAACACACACCTGTCCATATATGATTCAGGAGGTACCAAACTGTGGCAATCTGAAAACACCTGCAAAAATATAAAAATAACGTCTGCATCAAGAGCAATAGAAGCCAATATAAATGTCAGTCAAGATCAGAGATCCCTAGCTATGGAACATGGACCATGGAACATCGGAACCAAGAATCAAGTGACGTAAAAAAAACGCGTACACACGCCGACACATGTGAAGAAAATCACGCTCCACTAACCTCAGATGCTATGACTCCGCACCGTCGCTGTGCCCACGCTTTGCGGTGAGGAAACAAGCGACAAGTGTCCTCTATTGCCTTTGAGGGAAGACAGTGTTCATACACACGCCAGCTGTCCGCAAACTCTGTTGCCAATGCAAGTGGGGGGCCGCCAGCTGGAGTGGTGAAGTCATCCTGTGCGTTTCCATTGTAGTTTCCGCAGAGACCGTTAACCTGACCGTGTCAAAAGCATATCCACGTTACCAAAGCATCGCTCGGTCACACCAGCTAGTCCAAAAACATTCATCATTCAAAATGAAAACAGGTTACTTAAGAATTTCAGAAATATATGAACGGCAGCCGTAAGACCACGGTGTCGAGTATCACTGAACCTAGAAATCGTTAATAAATTAACGTCGTAATGCGTACTCTGGTCTTCCACCTCGGGCTCAGACGGACATACACCGATGTTCCTTTGTCCCACTCAACAGAGACGCCAATGTTGCTTTGTACTATCACGTAGAGTCCCACCTCTTTCACCGTCACTATATCGTCACGGAATGCCACTACGGGTCTGTCCCTCTGTAGAACCACTTTCTTGCCACCTACAGTTTATAAAGTGTTTTTAACTGTGGTACGACATCAAATAAAAATCCTTGCATGTTTGATTTACAAAATACTTCTTATCTTATGATGCTTATAATAATACCAGTATCACTAAAAAAGAGTCGTCTTCAAATCGGTTTGATCACGTAACTATTTTGTCACGGGTGTACGTTAGCCTTAGATTGTCAATTAACACATTAATAAATAGTAATGACTTCAGAAATATCAATTTACCGACCTAGCTGTATGATAACAGTCCTGCTGCATGTTGTGCCGCCCGATCCGCATTCGATATTTTCTACGGTGACCCTGAAGGCTTGCTCGGCGGCGACGCCATCCGCTGACTTCGCCATCACGTACGTGCACTCCCCTTGCATGCGGAACTCTTTCTGATCGTAGCTTCTGTAGTGCGACTCGCCGTACACATGGCATACGCCGTAGCACTCTTGCTCGGTGCAACTCCACACTCCACCTGCCTGGCACACGCTGAAATGAAAAGTACGCCATCCCAACTACTGAGGCCGCTAATTTCTGTGTGAATCCGTATGAGAACAATAAGGAATGCTGTAATGATAATCCCTGCGATTGTATTATTATTATTATTATTATTATTATATGGCTTATAGAGCGACAAATGTTCTGCTCATGGCGTTTGACACGGCGCCTTTGTTCAGCTCAATATCATCTCTCTCTTTCTCTCTCTCTCTCTCTCTCTCTCTCTCTCTCTCTCTCTATCTCCCGTCTTTCCCTTGCCTACTCGATAGCAGTCAGGCGAGAGTATGTAAGAGCGATATGCAAGAGTTGAATTCTTTCTAAAGCACGAGGTTAGAATTGCATTATCAGTCGGACGAGATAAGCAACAACAAATGATATATATATATATATAACACCTGATTAATCTATCGTGAATCATAATAGTGGTACGCGTCGCCGAGGTACACCGTAGCTACAACGTCTGTTATGTAAACACATAAACAACATAATACTGATATGTACGTATTAAAGCAGAGAAAACGTTACATATATACATATAGTTAATGCTGTAAGATTACGAAGGAACGTACCATGAATTGCAGTCAATCTTAATCTGATCATCTCGGTTGTATGTGGCACCGCCATGCATACATTTGCAATTGCTTGGTCGTACACATACATCTCCATCTAAAACATATCCCTTTATGCATCTGTAAACAGACATTCAGACACCAGTATGTATCATATGTCATTAAGATCATATTTCTATTAACTTGTTTCTACATTTGCAGATACTGGTAAGATGTTGTACTTTATTTAAGTACTTGACATCGTTGTTACGTGCCCGGCTATAAATAGAATTAATTGGTATTGGAGACGTACGGCAGGAGGAATAGCGCGTTTAGTAGTAGCAAGCGTTAAAAGTAATCTGCAGTCATAGTCAGTTATTCGTTCGCATGCTATGTGTGTATGCGCGGAGGCCGGTGGTAGGTACTTATAAGGGTTGTATGGCAGCTTCAAGACGACAAGGGTAATCTTACTGGCAGCCGTCCCGGCAAACGACCGTGCTGCACTCTGGTGCGTTGGCGTAGGCTCGGCAGGTGACCGGACAGTTACTTATGCACTTGGTGAACTCCATGAAATCACCGCAGCGGAGCAGGTTTGAAGACGTGCCAGAGGTGTCCTCCACCTGGCTATCGCCAACGTTAGCACATCTCCACTGGGCAGCTTGACAGGTGCTGCAAGACACACGCAGAGAGAGATATCAACAAGTCAGTATAACATCGATCAATAGCCTTGGGCAATGAAGTTGGCCTGCAGCACAACTACCTCTGTAGCCAGGGGCCTCTTGTGCAGGGTGGAACATGCGGTGTGGCCCGCGCGTCCCACGAGGTGATAGGCATGTGTATACACAGCGGCCCGACTACGCAGGTTGGCCAAAAGTTTAAACAATTCAGTAATAGAAATTAAAGCAATCATCAATAGCGCTCACAAGTACTGCCATTTCAACTTGGCGTCGACATAGCGTGTAATGGATGAAATCTGCCGAATCCTATATACCTTTATGGTGTAAAAGGCCTCGGATGTTAACTTAGTTCGTAGAAGAATCTCGAACGCTTACCACAGACTGCCCTGAATGTCAATATCGGCACCGGCAGGATATTCCTTGCCCGAATGTGTGCAAGGACACGTCATGATCGGGATGCAGTGACCATTTACATCGAGCGCTTCTCCTTCGGGGCATTCGCATCCCTCCACGCAGTGTCTAGAGCAGACAGCGTTGCTCGCAATGTTGCTGCAGGTGGCAGTGCAGTCGCTGGTGCATTCGGAATACTCCTGACCTCCGGTGCATTGCAGTGCTGCCGACAACCAACATTAAGGCGCTCATATACAGTAGTATGACTGAAATATTATAACTCGTGTCCCTCTAAAACAGGTTTTTTTTACATGTGGTCTATTGACCTCTTTGGGGTCCGTGGATGGGTTTTAAAGGGTCCGTGAGCACCATTGTATGCAACCTTTTGTGTTTATGTGCTTTTGTGCATTTTTCTGGGGAGGTGTTCGTAGCTTTCACCAGATTCTTAAAGGGGTTCATGGCTAAAAAAAGGTTAAGAACCACTGTTCTAAAAGAACGATAACGAAACTAGCTCGTTTGTACGCTAAATACGTTTATAGCGACTGTACGTCTATACGTCTGTACGTCTATACGTCTGTACGTATATACGTCTGTACGTATATACGTCTGTACGTATATACGTCTATACGTCTTTAGCGACTGTGCAGTTTTATCTACGACTAGATAAAAAACATCTACACTCATCCGGACACGTAAAGCTCCTTCCGTTCTGCTACCTACCGCAAGTATCTACGTGATTACGCCACTTGAGTATAACTCCGCGGTTTGCGCAAGCGCTAGCGTATAGTGCCAATATCGGGCACAGGCTCTCCTTCAGCTGGTCCTTGCTACGACATATATCTTGACGACAGTCAATGAAATAGTCCGTGACGTCGACAATGCGATGGCAGGCTAAATGCAATAATAATAAAGCGTGATCAGGTGCATGCACATCATTAGAGACATTGTAAATTTGTACGTCGGGGAGAAGGAGCTACATGCTTGCGCACCTATCGTGATCCTTAATAGAATGAAGACGCAATGAATCTCCCCTGGACGCAGCTTTTTGAAAAAGGCGTAGGCCCTGCGATGATCGACTCAACAGTACATTACTAATGAAATTAGCAAGATTAAAACAAGATTCAGAAACTATTATCGAATAAAAAAATTCCCACAATCGATGCGGTTACGGATTCATTAAGTTTTAAGGTATTTTACCTGAAAAGAGTTCACTTTTCAGCACCGAGCACGTAGAGTCAGCGAGGGCTCTTCTCTGTTCGTACAGGTCGCAGGCATCTCGCGACGGTAGCACCTCGTGTACCTGGCAATCAGAAGTCTTTTGCCACCTTGTGGCTGGAATAAAAACGAAATGTTTTCACCGCTAAAGCAAA